TCTAATGTGGAATACGCAAGTGGCAGCGCGTCAAGAGCACGTTCAAAATTCTATAAATCTCAGTTCGTTGTTTGTTGTGGTTAATCAGTTTTGTAAAAATGGCGAAAAACACAATCTTTTTAATTCTCTATGGGTCTGTTCTCACAAGAGTCTCTGACATTTTGCAAACTGTCAGAATGCATCGCCCCTGCATGTTTTCAATGCCGTCATTCCAAGATAACTCAGTAACTCAGCTGAGCGATTGTTACTGACAGTTTGCAAACTGTCAGAGACCTTATGAGAAGTCAAAAATTCTAGAAGATTGCCAGCAAGGCAATAGCATATATTCGCGCTAATGACACAGAAAGACTAAGAAACTTTAAGACAAAGTAGGTAGCCATCCAATGCTCAGGTAGAACCATTTAGACAAAAATTACATCTCACTTTAATCAATAAACTGGGAAAATTTACTTAATGGATAGGTTTGCAAGTACCTATGGTATTAATTTTTCTTGAATTTTAAGTTTAGAGACCATTGCTGAGAATATTTTGCATTTTTAGGTAGACCTTCGATGGTGTGAACATCTCGATAATATGAACACGTCCGGTTTTTTTTGTGTACACACTAGCGCGAGTCTACTGTAAAATTGGCTAACATTTTCATTACATTCAACGGAATTGAATTTCACTTGACTAAGGGCCGGTATTATAAAACACTGAACCGATGGTAGAGTTTCAAGTTCCAACCTTCGGTTGAATCCTATCAATTTGCATGAAACTCGATCATCGATTCAGTGCTTTATAATACCGGCCAATGGAAAATTACCTAAACAAATGATGCGGACAGTGAATTTGTTGTGAAAAAAAATACCATCATTTTTAACAAATATCGATATCAAATAAGTACGTTAAAATGCTCAAAAAGGGGCGTGGCACCAAAAAAAATTAGCCTACGGCGGTTGCCTGCGGCGCTAATGGAAATGGTCTTATTATAATACTGCCCCCCCCACCCCCTGTGACACCTCGTAACGACGCCCATGTGTGTATGGTGTGCTTGTGTATCTTTTTCAGTGACTTGTGAATTATCAGAACTTGTTTCATCTTGTTTTGTTGTTGTAGATGCCGCATGGTTTGTAAGATTGGGTGAGTGAGGTATGTTTGATGTTGAATTTTGAAAATGCAAAAACGTGTGATGCATGCCAGAACACTTACGACACCCAGGGGATCTACGTTCTTTTGTTGCGTGATTGTCACCTAAGCAGTTTTTACAGAGACGCATGCGTCTTGCATTGTTTAATTTCTCAAAGGCGTTGAATTTTAAAAAAGACCCGCAACGCAAGTACCTATAAATTGTGTGACCTGTAGTATGGCACATTGGACATTTTTTGACCTCAGTAACAAGGCCTTTGGTAGAAAATTCTTTTTTGTGAAATGGGGGTTTTTGGTAGGACGGTTTTTGAGTTGAAAAAATATTTTTTGTATTTGCGTTTAAAGATTGTAAAATTCGACATTTTTCTTTTAAAAAATCAATTAAATCCTTTTGTGTAGGAATGTTAGTAAAATTGCCCCTTGCCACCCATGTGCGGCGTGTGCTGCTGTCAAATTTGTTTGTAATTAGATAAATCAAAAGATCGTCCCATTGATCAGTGGCTCGTCCAAGAACTTGTAAAGCTCTTAAATGCTTCTGCAATCCATCCGGTAGTTGTCGCAAACCGTCATAATATGACTCTTTTTGTAAAATTGGCAAGTTAAAAATCGTTTTAATGTGAAAATTAATCGAAAGCTGTTTATTTTCGTACCTCTCCTCTAGTAAGGACCAGGCAACGTTATAATTATTGTCAGAACATTGTAGTGACTGTATGACATCAGCAGCGTCGCCCTTTAATGCTAGGCGCAAATAATGAAATTTTCGTACATTAGACAGTGTGTCCACTTAAGTTCGCAGCATATGGGAAACTTGTTTATTATCAATTTTACGAAAAAAAGTTATTCTTGATAAAAGTTTCTGGTTCTCGGAAAAATAATATTAAACTACTAAAACTTGAAATAGCATGTACAGGGTGGTCAAAAAATAGAAAAATATACAGAGTGTTTCCTGAGTACGGTTCGTAACTTCAGGATGTGATTCCTTACAGTATTTAAAAAAAAAGTTCCCATAAACATGTGTCCAAAAGTGCATAGTTTCTGAGATACAGGGTGTCAAAGTTTTATAAAAAATCGTTTTTTTAGCTCGAAAATCAATTTTCCAATTTTTTTTTTCAAATTTGGCAGGTCTGTATGTGATAACGAAAGGTATCTTTTGATTTTAATATGACTTGCTGCATCTGAAAAAAATATCAAAGGTTTTAAAAAATAGTGACGTGCCATTTTTTGTCTACTTTTACCGTTTTTTATCAAAAAATTCTGTATATTTTTCTATTTTTTGACCACCCTGTACAATGCTATTCCAAGTTTTAGTAGTTTAATATTATTTTTTCGAGAAGCAGAAACTTTTATAAAGAATAACTTTTTTTCGTAAAATTAATAATAAAAAAGTTTCCCATATGCTGCGAATTTAAGTGGACACACTGGATATATTTTTACTGTGTTATGATTGAAGTAAAAGTTGGTCTAGTGACCCGTCAAATGTCGGTACATTCAATGAAGGTAAGTTATCCTCCGGGGGAATTGCACAATGTTGCCAAGTTGAGTAGCATTGGGATTCATATTATTCACTGGTAAATGCGATTTTGATTGTAGAAACTGTTTAACAGCTGAGATTGTTCGATGATATTGTTTCAAAAGCCTGCCGTTCAGGCTCGTAAATTCTGGAATAATTTACATCAAAATCCTCGTCTAACAGTTCAATATTTTGCTGTATAACCTCGTATTAATCCAATGCAGGCTCAGACTTGATTAACCTACTGCGCAACTCCTCTAAGTTTAACGTATTGCTCGTAAGATCCAACGCATTGGAGTACGTTTCAAATCGTGTAAAAGCTTGTTTTAAAATTTTTCTTTTCCTTTTTTCGTGTTTCAATTCATCAACCATTTTTCAAAATAGATGGGTATTAAATTTTAGAAAAAATTGTCGTCAAATCCGTAAAACTCCAAATAAACTTGTCAAAAAAGCTGCAAAATTGCTTGTTCTGGTTGTCTAGTAACGTCAAAATTTTAAAACTGGCAAAATACTAACTTTTGTTGCTTGTAAAAAATAAATAAAATCGTTAAATAATCAGCTTAGTAGCTTGTACAATCGTTTAAAATTGTGAAAGGTAGAATGGTGGCGTAAAGCTTGTAAAAAAATTAGTAAAAAATGCATCAGGTTAAAATTGTCAAAATACCAAATTTCGGCTTTTGGAAGTACCAAAAGGAACACACTGATCTTATTTGTTTTTGAATTCCTGTTAAAACCAAAATGCAGGCACTATGGTGTTTGTTTTGTATAAAAATCCAATCCAATGTTCTTGTCAATCAACAATATTTTAGTTTTGTTCACAAATTGTTCATAATTTCTTGTAAAATGTTCATAAAAATAGTCAAAAATCGTTAAAATGCACAAAGTAAATTAAAAAACACCTCACGCGAGCTTCTGTTTTGCACGTCCAAGCTCCAAACTCGTATGTTTTGGCGAAGATTATCAAAGAAACTCACAAAAAGTATCCAAATTTAAGGTTCAAAGATTATCCAAAAACTAGTAATATCCGTGCTGTCGAAGGACCAAATGTTATGTAGGCGGGTTAGAAAACCTACTAGTGAAGATTTTTAAGCATTTCACTTTATTTTCTTGTATAAGCAATTGAATCAGACGAGACTTACATAAGTGTATCAAAAAGTTTTAATAATCATAATAATAATTTTAGTTGCGTAGCAATCGTCTAACAAACGAAACAACTTACAAACTAGATTCAAAAAATCAAAACAAAAAATACTGCTCATCATTCAACGTCAATGTCTCTTCGTTGCCGACTGGTGCTAACTGTCTCTATTGGATAATGCGAATTAACATTGACGGTTAGGATTTAAAGTTCAATTCATAAGCGGCGCAAACACTCCCTCCCAAGAGTAGAAATAGAGATATTTACGGGATACACCAAAAAAAAACTCGAAATTGTTTCGTTGAAATTTAAAATTCTTTAAATTTTACCGTTTAGATTTTACAGTTTGTCAAAGTTGTAAAAAAGCAAATACTTATAGTTAAATATTTTCAATTTTCCGTTGAACTCATAGCTGGGTCATAGAAGTTTCCTGTACTAGTTGATGAAGGAAGGACAACACGTGAAACGCCAACACTTATGAACATAATTGTTAGAGATCAATTTTATTCTGACATTATTTGAACACCCTGTAGAATTTGGAGTATTTTTTTTCTGTGTTAAGAGCTCATCTTTTATTGAGTTTACGTTGTGTCGTTGGCCTGAAAATGGTCGTAAAACGTACAGATACCTGTTTTAATATGGACTACAATCAGCGTGAACGAGATTTCATACAAAAAGTAATGTCCTTAGGTGTAACGGAATATTTTGTGTAGGTAATTAAAAAGTCTCTATTATCTTTTTGTAGATGTAAAAGCAGTTATTCTACCAGGCTTTTTTGCTTGACCCAGTAGCTGAGACTAGTAGGTATATAGCAACTTTAGTGATTGAGCTGTATATCATCGACTGACAAAATAGCAGATAGCGAACTTACTGACCCCCATTTTATCAAAAACACTCAAAAAATTTACTTCTTTTTGACCTTTTACACCTATAAATATTTATAAACCGACTGTCTTTATGTGCATATTTTTATATAAACACATATGAGAAGATTGACACTAAAGAAAAATAAATTTTTTATACTTTTTTTCAAAATCCATACAGCCATTGAGCGTTTCATCAATAATAAATTTTATTGACCCACTTAAATAAGCGTGTTCCTCTTATTTCGATCATCAACAAATTGCATTCAAATTTCCCGTTATCCAAAGCGCCAATCTCTTACGGTAAAACCCACGTTTACGCTATACTGTAGATCGCTAAAACAAAATTTATCTTTTCTCCGCAGATCCATCCGGTCCGCTATCGATGACCGATCGTTTCTGAATTCAAATCAACATTTTACTTGAAAAAATGAACATTTTATCTTTTATCTTGGTAGTGCTACTGTCGCAAGTGCTCTCTAATCCCATACCAAAAGAAAGCAAAAATAGTAAAGATAAAGTGCTCTATGACCAAAGACAAGAGGGCGAATGGAATATTAGGGCTGATTTAAATAATTTAGTGATTTTGGTCGTACCAAAGACGTCAGAACTACAAGAAACTGCTGGTTAGTATATAGATTTTTCTAACTGCATTTAGATTAAGTACCTATACATATGTTTTATTGCTCTAGGACCTACTTTGTTGGATTTCCTTATCAGATCCCACTCAAAACACCAATCCAAACATGTTAAGAATGCCGCAAAAAGCAACGATGAAGCTATTAACTTTCTCGAGTCTAAAACAGCTCCTTATCACGTAGACATCACTAAATCCAGCAGTCATTTGATGAACGATGAAATTTTAGCTACTCAAACACCCTTGCTGGCATTAAAAAAAAATAATGAAGAAAAATCCGACAAGGAAACTCCGTCTTTACGCAAACTCAGATCCACCAAAGCTTTTGTTCTCACAGTTCCAGAAGAAGACTTTGTGCTCACTAAAATGGAAGACGATAAAAAAGTAGTGAAAAAGGATGGCATTAAAAAGAAACTAAATAACATAAAGGAGGGTGAATTAATGCTTATTGGAGCTACCGAACAGTGTGGTCCAGACATGTTTAGAGATTCTAAAGGAGTGTGCCAATTAAAGAAATCTATTGATATTAAAGAAGATAGAGACGAGTGATATTTTTATTTAATACTATTGTGAAGTTATTTATTATTCTATTTATAAGTTTCAATAAAAAAAAAACAAAATAAGTAGGTACAGTTTTCATTGTATATTTATGATTTTTAATTATAATCATTACTGAGTTGCCATTATTTGTCTGTATTTTATTTGATCATTGTGCATTTGTAAAAACACTTTGTACTTTTTGTTATGATATTCGATAGTTTTTGCATCTGGAAAAACGGCGTTGCCTTTTCCACCCATTGATTTTATAGCATCTTCCAGAGAGTCAAAATGATTGGCTGCTACAGCACCTAAAATATAAACTCATCAGTTTTTGATCTGATTGAATTTTCAAGTATTATTCGGGTACATTCTTACCTAAAATAGCAGATCCTAGTAAGACACTTTCAATTTCTTCAGGGCATATAACTGGCAAATTGCAAACATTAGCCTGAGCAGCTGTAAAAATTGGATTTTTGCTCAAACCACCGCAAATTAGCGTGGATTTTATATTGTAACCAGAATCATTGAGTTTTTCTATAATTTGCCGAGTACCATACTAAAATGGTTTTAAAAAACTACTAAATCATAAATTCGTTTTTGTTTTTAACTTACTGAAAGTGCTTGAACAGTTGCTAAATAGAGAATGGCCAAACTTTCTTCATCACTTGACAGGGACAATCCTGAAATCTGTTTTAATAGATTAGCACAAAACACTTGAGAATTTATAAACATTTTTACCATTCCTTTTAAAGTCGGGTCGGCTAACAATCTATTTCCATGGAAATCAGGATAAACATGAAAATCTTTAGTCAAAAAAGCTGGATCGTTCAAATTTTGCTTTTTGGCCAAATCATAAATAATGTTGTTCAGATATTGTATTATATGCAAATCACCCAACTTTTTTCGAATTTCCGCAGTTGCTGGATGTGTATCAATAACATGATCTACCAACTTCCCTGTGGCACTTTGACCACCTTCATTCAACCACATCCCTGGAATCATTGCGCTTTTATAGGGACCCCACACCCCAGGGACGAAAACGGCTTCGTTGGATACTGCCATATGACATGTTGAAGTGCCACAAATTAAACCCACTCTAGTTTCAAAACGTGGATCAATCTTTTCAACTGTACACCCTATAAGCCCTAAGCCTCCCGCGTGTGCGTCTATCATAGAAGTTCCTACAGGAGTGCCAGGAAGTAATCCTAATTCATTAGCTGCTTGGTTGGATAATCCAGAGCCCACTGGAGCTCCAGGATATTGTACTATTGAGCCAATTTTTCTCCAATTGTCTTCTGCTAAATCACTTAAACCTGCTTGGTCCAAAAAGTTTTTGCTCCAGGCTTCTACGCCATCTACGTTCATTTCATATGCCCATTTGCAAACTAAAGAACATGAGGATCTAGAATCTACATCTGTTGCCCTCCAAGTTAAATAATCTGGCAGGTCAAAGAAATATCCAGCTTGGTTCCAAGTGGCTTCAAGATATTTTTTGAGCCACAAAAGTTTGGGAGTCTCCATCTCCGGAAATATTTTTCCTCCGACATATTGAAGTACAGGATGGTTTGTATTGTTAAGAAATTCGGTTTCTTTCATTGCTCTATGATCTAGCCACAAAATGATGTTTTGTTCGTTGTTACCTGACGGACTGACTGTTAATGGTTTGCCATTCTTATCTATGCAAACTAGGGAACATGTAGCATCAAATCCAATACCCTTAATGCTCTTGTTGCAAGTTGCTTTTGTGACTTCCTAAAAATAGTTTTTGACATTTCAAAGTAAGTGAAAACGATAAAATTCCTACCTTCACACATTGACAAACAGCTCTCCATATATCATCTGACGATTGCTCATAGAAATCTGGCTCCAGGTTCCAAGTTTTAGTGGGTTCAACATGGCTTTTCAAAATCTTTCCTGTTTCAGTTACAAGAGCTGCCCGTACGCTGCTCGTTCCGACGTCAACACCAAGAAAATAGGCCATGGTTTTATGGAGTCACAGCTTCAAATTGTCGTTTCGAGAAGCTATATCGCCCTTGATCCTGAGTATTGATACTAAAAAAGTTTCTATTTGTAAATATTTTAATAATGTTAACTCTATACATAGGAACTACCTACCTAGTTATGTGGTTATTTTGGGCATTTTTACTTAAAAAAGGCCAATTACAATAAAGGATTATTTATATAAAATAATAACTAATATATTTTACTTACGATTTGGATATTATACAGCGACAACACAATAAAATCCACCAAGTTAATCCAAGGTTATTGATAAATTAGTAAAGTTTATCTGTGCAACTTATACGGGACCGCGTCAAGTAATAAGCTGTTGTTTTATTAGAATGAGGATTGACTGATAAAACATTATAAATCTTAGATTTGCGTTTTACCAAACGATAACACGTGATGTAATTTAAAAGATTGTTGGGCCGGCGACCAGGCATGGAATGTGATTGTAAAAACTTTGTGATATTTCAGTCAAATACGACCTCAATAAAAAAAAAATTATAAATTCAAATTTTGAAAATAAATATTGAAACATCACCCATCAGATTCAAATTTCTGTTATTATATATGCTTGGAATTGTTTGTGAAAATTTAATAGGTAGTCTTTTCATATTCATTATAAAAACAACCATAATAGTCCAAGAAACGGGGAACTGAAAAGAGGGTTTACCTCAACATAATTAGATAGAAGTTAACATTTTTTGAGGGGGATCAGTCCATTTTCATGTGCTTAATAACATATTCAGTTTGCGACCTTGTACTTTCATAGGGTTTTTAGTTAGGGGTGGTTTTTAGGGGTAATTTGCGGTTTATGGAGAACGCTGCTCAAAGGGATGGTCTAATAGCAAAAAGTTTCAAATGATTGTTGTAGCTGAAGTTTTTTGCTATAAAAAACTCAGCGACAGCACCCCTCTATCTTCTATAGTTTTTTTTCTGCAGCGTCTTGAATAGTAGCAAGCTTCAGCTACAACAATCATTTGAAACTTTTTGCTATTGGACCATCCCTTTGAGCAGCGTTCTCCCTAAGCCGCAAATTACCCCTAAAAACCACCCCTAACTAGAAACCCTATGGAAGTTCAAGGTCGCAAACTTAATATGTTATTAAGCACATGAAAATGAACCGATACCCCCCAAAAAATGTTAACTTCTAATTATGTTGAGGTAAACTTCCTTCATTGCTTGGCCTATAATGTGTGATTCCGAAATAAAAATCATGATTTTACAATCGACCAATTGAGTAGTGCTACAAATAAAATAAATGCGAAAAGTTCTTCTGAAAGATTCTGTAACATCGTCGAACTTGATGGAAATATTATTATGGGTGAACTACGTCACATCACATAAGTAGGTACTGAAAAATCACTCGTCCAGGGCGGGGTTGAATGGGATACATTCCGCCCCAAAAATGTACTTACCGAAATGAAATCAGGTATCGAAAATGTTGTATGTCATTCAGATCTTCTCAAATAGTTCCACCCACTTTGGTGGTCCCTAAAACATTTTTTCAAAGAAGATTTTTTTTTAGTTAGGGGCTAAATTTCCCCCCTTCAATCTCAAGATAAACATGTCCTTTTTTGATATATCACTCGGATCTTCTCAAGCAATGTTTCCACCAACTTTGGTGCGGCTACAAAATTCTTCAGAGAAGCTTAGATCTTTTTCCAGTTTAGGGCTTGAATTTTCCCACTTCAACCCGAAGATAAACATGTGTTTCGGTGATATGTCACTCGGATATTCTCAAGCAATATCTCTACCAACTTTGGTGCTGCTATACATTTTTTCCACAGTTTTGTGGTTGAAATTCCCCCGTTCAACCCCGAGATAAACATAATGTGCTTTTTTGTTGTGTCACTCAGATCTTCGCAATAGTTTCACCAACTTTGGTGCTGCTATAATATTTTTTAAAGAAGTTTGGTTATTTTTTTTTTAGTTTTGGGGTTGATATTTCCCTTCTTCAGCCCCGAGATAAACATGTTCTTTTTTGATATGTCACTCAGGTCTTCTCAAGCAATGCTTCTACCAACTTTGGTGCTGCTTCAAAATTTTCAAAGAAATTTGGTATTTTTTTACAATATTGTGGTTGAATTTTTCCGCTTCAACCCCGTGATAGACATGTGCCTTTCTGATATGTCACTTGGATATTCTCTAGCAATATTTCCACCAACTTTGATGCTGCTAGAAAAATTTTCAAAGCAAAACTACTTAGCTTTTTTTTAGTTGTGGTGTTGAAATTCCCGCCTTAAACCGCAAGATAAACATGTGCTATTTTCACTCGCATCTTAATTCTCAAGGATTTGAACCCAATTTCATGGAGCTACAAAATTTTTCAAATAAGTTTGGATTTTTTTTACAGTTTTGGGGTTGAATTTTTTTCCTTCAACCATAGGATAGACATGTGCTTTTCTGATATGTCACTCGGATCTTTTCAAACAATATTCTCACCAAATTTGATGTTGCTACGAATTTTTCCCTCCTTCAACTCCGAGATAAACATGTTATTTTGTGATATGTCACTTGGATCTTCTCAAGCAATATTTCTACCAAATTTGGTGCTGCCACAAAAATTAAAAACATATTGCCGGTAGTTGGGAATATGCGAAACTTCTTCACGCACAGCTATGTAACGAAAACATGCAATGCTAGACATGGCCTCTACTGCTACCCATTCGAGTTAGTAGTAGGGATTGCCTAATATATCCACCACGAAATCAGGAAGCACAATAGATGCAGTAGTATTTAGATATTGTCACGCTTCTGGGGTGCTTGACAGAAATCCTCTGTTCGTTTATTCAAAAATCAAAGCCCAATTAAAACAACAATAAATAATTCCACGTTACTATACACTCCGACACTAATTACTTCACTAATTAACTGAATCAACTTAACTCTTACAGTATTCACTATCTAAATTATATCAGCCAATCTTAAACTAAAAACTACTAATACCAGCCTTTATATATCCGTAATCTATTCTTGTGAATTCCAGAATAAACGCAATAGGCAATAGCCCTTTTTCCCGAATAGCACTGTAAAATCTAAAATCATCTGTCCAATTTTGTACACCCTGGCGCTTCCGCCAGATTTTCGCGACATCGCCCCTCTCTTAAGGTTGATTATCCTGATCAACTTCGCGTTCATGATATTTCGTTAGTCTGTCCAAATGTACAACTTTCATCTTACTCCTGGTGTTGCGCTGAACTCGATAAATTAAGTCATTAATAATCTTGATTATTCTATAGGGTCCTTCTCATGCTGAAAACAATGAGGAATTTGCAGATTTTTTTTTTAATTTTCTTATTAAATTTCTCACAATGACTACGTTTATTTCACGCGTTGTATCCGGATACTAAGTGGATTAAGGATTATTAATCCATATTCGTTTATTTCGCAACTATTACATGGATTAAGATTAGTGTTGCTTTGTGTCATTTGTGTCTAACTTCAGTAACTTCCAAGCTAACTTCATTAAAGGCAACGATGATGAGTTAAAATATAAACATTTTCTTATCTCACACCGGTTTTTCATCAAAAAATATTCAAATAAAACTAAATAACATCAATCATCAAAAAAACTACACATGACAAAGGTCATTTTTTCTTGAAGTTAGCAACAAACTTCTTAAATCCGAGATTAAGGTGTTTATTTTATATTTGAGATAATCCATTTTAAGTCCAATCCCACAAATTTGGAGGATTGGATTAAGTACTCCGATCCGGATTATTTCTCTAATCCTGGGTGTTTATTTCAGGATTAGTAATCCTCATTATTAATCTAATCCACTTAGTATCCGGATAGAAAGCGTGAAATAAACGCAGTCATTTTAAAAAGTCACTTGCCTCATAAATTTTAAATGTTCAACTAATAGTTTTTCTATAACAATTGCCTAGCTTTCGAAGCCTTTCGCTTCCTAATGTATAATAATCAATACCTGTTTATTACCTTCGTCATATTGTCAAGTCTATCAAACATAAATCAAAATTTTCAAAAAAAATTATACCATATTTTACATTTTTTGAAATAATTTTCATTATACATTTATATAAAATTTTTTACAAAAATCTATATTATATCATAAATGAAATAAATGAAAAAACTTAAAAAAAACAGAGAAATCGATTGACTCACTACAAGGTATGTTTTAAAAAGTTTATAACAATTTTTATTTAATTTCTAATTTATATTATATTCATTTTTTATTTATTTTATATTATATTATTATAGCCCTGAAGAAGAAGCGAAAGGCTTCGAAAGCTAGGCAATTGTTAAAGAGTATTAAAGAGTAATAAATCTATGATACTGACTTTTTCCCAATTATTCGAACCATATCAATTATTAACGGTCGTGATCCATAAAATAAATAATAGTTTTTCTGTAAAAAAATATAGAAATTCAAAATAACTCTCTTCGCGCCAAAAAGCACTCATAAATGAATGACGTCACAAGACGGTATCCGTCAAAACGAGTCTCTGTACTCCCTCTCGCTCTTACCCATTGTGTTTTGTCATTGGTTTATGCGACTTTGTCGATCATTGTCATTTTCCATTCACTAAACAAAGATAGTGTTACGTTGATTTTGGAAATCAATTCTCTTCCAGTGAACTCACACCCTATACATTAAGAGAGAGAAAGAAATAGTGTAGTAATGATAGTAACAAATATATATGACTAAATAATAATTATAACAATAGCTAACTCATCGGTGAAGTCGCCGATTAGAATAAAAACGAGGGGTATCTTTGTTTAGTTCAATCGATAGAATTCGATGTAAATGTCGCAGGCTTAATGTAAAATCAGTCTTATTATAATACGCCTAGGCTTTTTCAATACGACTAGGCATATCGTAATACTACCCAAATACCTAAGAATTTCGCAATTAGACTGGTAATTTTAGTCTTATTATAATACGCCTGCTGCGTGTTAGTCTTATTGTTGAAATGAACCTGCATTAGAATCCAACTAGATGAAATCCGTCGTATTATAATACGACTGATAGTGCACCAGGGCTGGGACTCTGTAACGAATAGAGATATTTTCTCTATCTCTATTGTCATCCCCTCTCTATTGATTTCAAATAGAGAGAAAAAGACAGGAAGTGCCATAGCGATAGGGATAACGATCTCTATCTGTTACAGAGTTCCAGCCCAGGCGAATTGTATTGAATAAAACTTTCAATGTGCCTTTTGGCCGATATATTGTGCTGAACGCTAACGTTCTTATTCTTTATGCCAAAGAGATATCTTAATCACCAAAGTTTAAAGTATTTTTTCCAAATTTCGTCTCTGTAGCATAAATAATAGGAAAGCCA